CCCCTGCTGTTTAATTTCATTTTAAATTAATTTGGGGGGTGTTTTGTGAGGGTTATGGAACCATGTTGACTGGATCTAAAAGCACGTTTAAAGTCCGACAAATGGGGCCGGACATCAAGGTAAGCGCACACACTAATAAGCTCATCAAATGAACTATCATTCAAAAGTAGTGGTGAAAAAAACAGCTTCAAATTCGTCTCGCATCGACATCATTGTACCTGCTTAAATGGACCTTAAACTATTTTTACTTTGGTTCAATTCGTGCTCGTAAGTGGAGTAAACCTGCAACTCATTTCAATAATCAATATGTCGGTGGTTTTGTTGGTCAGTGAATTGGTTTTAAAATACATATATATTTTGATTGACATAGCAGAAAATGCACGAACGTAATTTGATTATGATTCACTTGCTGATGAAAAAAAAGAAGAGTAAACATGTGTAATTGTTTTCCAGAGTCAGAGCAGATGTTTGCAAATGTCTTATTTTGACTGAACACAGAGAAAGTCAGTCTGCTTTCAAGGATGATGACCAAAATCAGAGAAGATTGACTGTTGAGAGGCAGGATGGAATTTTGAACATTTGGACGATGCTAAGTTTAACAAGGTCTCTAAATAACATTATTCTAACACTGTTTAACATCATATGTGGAAAATGTTGCACACTCGACATCCATTGCAGCCTGGTCATCTCGGAAGAGGGTTCACCCATCTGCGGGCCCTTCTCAAGGTTTCTCATTTTTCACCAGATGGTGTTTTTTGAGTTTTTCTTTGCCCTCCTGGTGGTTAAGATCATGGTTAAAACTTGTCAAGTGAAGCCCTCGAAGACTTTTTGTGATGAAGGCCGATAAAAACGAATTTGACTTTTCTAAATCAGTGGTGCCCAACCACCAATCCGAGCCCCATTTGGACATACCAAAAATCAAACAAACAAACAAAAAAAAAAACGCAGTGTAAATGTGTGCAACTGCAGCCAATCAGATTCCAGCTTTTTTGTCTAACTTTGCTTTGTAAGCTTAAGTGATCAGAGTCCGCCAATGAGTAAAATACGAAGCGGTAAACAGAAAATAATAGTAATGAGCGAATGTGCAGCTAAACACGCAGGTGACAGGCAGCCATGACTTGGCGTCATCTTCCAAAGATTAAGCTATTTTGTGTGTGTGTGAGTGTGTGTGTGCGCGCGCGCCCGGACAGTCCTGACCCACTGCAACGAAGAAAAAAAGTTCATTTTTGTTATTGTTATGAATCAGCGATTGGGAAGTGCCTGAGTTGCCTTTGCGAGCCTTTTGTAGCTTAAATCTGCACGTTTCATTTCTGTATTTGTGTTCATTTGAGAGCCGAAGCAGCAGGATGAGTCAGAGCCAAAAGAAGGCAAGCCGTCCAAGTTCCTTCTTTTCGTCTTCCTCTCTGGTTATTTTCAGCAGCCGCAGGGGAAACGCTTGCAGATGCTTGTGGACGCAAGCCTTAGGCGTCGCTTTTGTGCATGTGTGCGCTTGACGGAGGAGGGGGCGGGCACATCTGTCCGCCGTCGCCATGGAGACAGCAGTTGAGGAATTTTTGGTGGCATTCGATTACCTCTGAAAATGAGATGTGCCAACAGATGCCGTCCGTCCTCCCGGGCCACTCTCGAGTATTCCTTTTATGTTAATCTGGCAGAGAGGTGGTCATGTGACTTGGTCGGCGGTGGCACGTACGCACACACATGTACACACAAAGCTTGTATGAAAGCCAAATTTGTCCAAGATGGCTTTGCGGTCTGTGTGCATATTTAATCTAGTTGTGCTGAGCCCGAGATGCTTTGTCTTTTTCTTGAGCAAGCCGCAAATATTATTCTCGAATTTAAGTTTTTCCTTGTGTATGATCATGCAAATGGTAAAGCAGTGTTCCCCGCTAGATTGCAGCTTTGTTTGTTTGATGTAGAAACCTGTCTGGTGGAAAAATTGTCCTCTATATTTAGAGAATTAAATTTAAAAATCAAGATACTTCGGAATCAAGAGAAGCAGCCAACTTTTCAAATGTACGACTAAGAAACATGGCGGGAGAGACACAGCTCACATAGCTCAAGTTGAACATGCATATGGAGTATGTTGTCTCTTGGTGTGTCAGGTGTCTAATCTTGTCTGATGTCCAACATGTTCACATTCCTCTTTCTCATACTTGACAAAATCCCAGATTGACACCCTACTCTTTGTTTTCTACTCAAAAGCTGTGCAGATCTAGACTCCAACATACAAAACAACCACCGCTGCATACAAAACGCTGTCCGTGGAGCAAAAACAACAAACGCAGTTAAGGCGATAAATTAATGACATTAAAAAAAAAAACACAACAGTAAAAAGCACAACACTAACAAAACCGAGTCTCATGCTGAGTCAAAAGCCAAAGAGCAAAAATGTGTTTTAACAATTTATTTTAAAACTTTGTATCAAATTAGAAGCCATTTGTATCCATCGTATTGAAACAAATGACAAAAAAATAAAATAAAACAAAGGAAAAGCACTGTACGGGGGGGGGGGACAAACTGGGGCGCATGTTGTTTGTCCCGTGAATTTCTGGTTGACTTGCAAATTTTACGGCAATTTCTTGTTTCCTTTTTCGAGGCGCTGCTGCGGCTATAAATGTCCCAAAATGGAGGCCTTAACTGCAGCGTTCATTTGCATTTGCTTTGAACCTCCCAGTCACCAGAGGATCATTGTCATCATCATCTAAGCGTTCCCTGATAAGACAGTCATCCACACCCGCCCCTGCGGGACCCTCCACGGGACCCCCCCGCCACCCCCGCGTCAAGCTTGGCAGTGTTTTAGTGCAACAATGAGAGCCGGTTTGCGGCCCCTCTTTTGGTATTGATTGTCAGAGGGCAGATCGAAAATAAAGCAGCTGGCAGCGTTGAATGAGCCGATGGTTTGTTGGGAGCGTAAATTAAAAAAAAAAAGACTGAGGGTCTTCAAGAGCCAATTAGTCACCACTAAAGAGATTTACTCCACAGCACAACCAAGTACTTTAACTTGTAGGCCATTTGTTTTGGGGTCCAACTGGATTTTAGGGGAGTGTGAAAGAACACTGCAGTTTCTATGAAATGAAAAGGAATAGATCCGGTCAGGTTTTGGTGCTGAGTGTCATTAATCTGGGCAGTGTGCTGTGAAAATTTGTCTGCTATTTCACTGCTGTTTACCCCGAAATGGTTGATCCATTCTATTTGGAATTCCTTAAAAAAAAAAAAAGGAAAGCTGCTCAATTTGCGGCTCACAAGTCCTACATTTCTGCTTGTTACACTGTCCCATATGCGGTAAATATCCCATCCTTGTTGTGTTTTCATGCCGATTCACCAGAGGTGGTCTAAAAATAACATCAGGCTAAAAATAAAAAACGTCAGACCCACTTCCTTCATTGTTCCTCAGCTAGCTCGCGCAGCCATCTGAATTTAGTCATTCACGTGAGGGAATGTGTTTGGGCTGGGCTGTTGAGATTTTGTTGTTGAGTTGTTTTGTTTTTTGGGGTCAGCGCTGGCGGCAAGCGGCTGCTAACGCGCACTTAAGTGGGCGCAAGCGGTGCCGAGTCCAAGTGGGAGTAGTCGTGGTGGAAAAAAACAGTCACTTGTCACAGGATTGCGGTTGAAGCGATGAAGTGAGAAGAAAACAGTTGACTCTTAGGAGCTTAAAAAGCAAGTTTTGTTTCTCTCCCCCCCCCCCCCCCACAATAATGTGGTTTCAACATTAAAAATTCTATTTTGGCAGGATAATTTATAGTAAATTATTTTGGTTTTCCCCCCCCCCCCCCTTCTCAGCTCTTAAATAGTTTGATCTTTTTTGTTGTTGTTATTGTAGTGATCCAAACAGTTGTACGATGCATTCAAAAGGAACAAGAAACTAAGTTGGTTGAATCATTTTTCCATGACTGTATATTTTGGTGGCTCAAACATGGTTTGAGCGGGGGGCGTGGTTTCAGCACTTCAGAGGCCACACCCACAGACAACACCTTCCTTTTTCTTCATTTCAAAGTCTCAGTTTTGATACTTGGCCATTTTCTCATTCATTCAGTTTTGACAAGGTTGTCAACAACGCTCCTTTTCTGTGGTGTGTGTGTCCAGTTTACAAGACACGTTAGTTGTCACTTTACTTTAAAGTTGGAATATTTGCGTATGTACAGTGGACACGGCAGTGCTCCAAAATTAAGAAGTCCAGGAAAACGTTCCACAAGGAGCAACATCACATGATGCAGAGTTCTGGTTTAGCAAGAGGGAAGCCATGAGCAATGGAAAGTACAGTAATAAGAAGCTGGCGGAGAGCACGATGGGAGGCACTTCGGACGCAAAAAAAAGGGGCCCTCCAGAATGCAACATCAGCAATTTTGACTTTATTTTGACGTTAGCAGAGTTAGACTGTAAACAATAGCACATTCGACATATTTGTCTGACTTCGCAAGAATGGAACTTGGCCGTCTTGCGACGATGACCTGTACCAAAACTGCTTGTTGAACTGCCAAGCTGATTTTGAAAGTTGCCGTGACGACGTACCACTGGCACATCCAAAGCCTTTGGAAAGAAGAAAGAAATAGCTGCCATCTGACTGGCCTCTGATGTTGTGGCCTCCGAGCTTGAGTCGGGGACACGTCAAGGAATTCCCAAAGCCAGATAGCGAGGCAAAGAATGAACAATACTTTGCCTGGCATGCTCAAAGAAAATGAGACTTTTCCTGCCTTGACATCAAAAGAGCTTTGATGTCCACGGCAACTTTTGTCAACATGCACAAAGACGCCTTTGCCTTTTCTCACAAGGCAAGTTAACAAGATTCACCTTTTCAGAAACAGTGGACAGCTTCTCATGTTATCAGGTTACACGGTGTGTGACAGGGTTAAGCAAAATTGTGAAAAATAAAATGATTCCAAAACGAAAGGGAGTAGCAGAAAGCCAGGGTGTGAACCTTGGACGCTCCCTTCGTCAGAGTCGTGTTGAAAGCAGTTGTCTAATTATCTGATTGCAGGATGCCGTATTGACTGTGTGAACTTTGCTGGGTTTTGCATGAAAGGCACATGCTGATAAATGCAGGCCGTTTTGCGAGGCTTAAACGGATTTCTGGTCATCTCATCGCCCTCTGTGAACGAGGAAGTAAAAAAATACTGCTTACTAATCAACACAAATACATGTTGTTTTTTTTTCGCTGTTTCTGTCAAGTGTAGCCATTTTGGAGGTTTTGGCTTCTCACAGTTGAAGCTGAAGTACTCTTAAATCAACAATTTTCACGACCGAAAAGTCTCTCGTTGTAAACTGCGTTTTAACGAGTGCTACAAACGCGATGCTCGGCTTCTCATTAGCGTAAGTCGTTAGTGTAGCATTAGCCGCTGAATGGCCTCTTGTTAGCTGTGCTTTTTTTCCACGATAAAGGCGGCGGCTAAAACGGATCGGATTTGTGTTTTCAACTTTTCACCGTGGGCCCACAAGTGCTGATGGGCTGCTTTCAGAAGCTCTCAAACTTAAACATCTACAAGCTAAATTTTCTCCGCCGGACTTTTCGTCTGACCACCTGAATAATCAAACCGTTGGCGTTCCGAGCCTTGCCGGCCGTAAGCAGGGCGTTCTTGCTCATAAATGTGAAAGCGCGTCCCACTGGGGGTTTCTAGTAAACTTAACTTGCTCCATATGTTCCAGCGAGGGAGGGCTGCTGTTACAGCTTTGTACTTTTTTAGGTTTTGCCAAGAGAAGCAAAGCGAGAGAATATCTATCAGGAGCTTTAGCAATTGGTCTAATTTCATTCTCCGTTTTTTTCCGGCTAACCGTATTGCAGAAAGTGATCGAACAAATAGGCGCAAGAAATAATAATAATAATAATAATAATAATAATAATTGGAGGTTGCTTGTTGGGATACCATTTTCAACGATCGACGCGTAACTGGGTGGACACGTCTTGATTTTGGTACTGGCTTTCGTCTGTAACATGTCAGAAAATGTACAAAAAAGTTGTCCGTTATTTTTCTAAAATAAAAGCAGATATTTTGTAAATGCTGTATTTTGATGGAACTCAAAAGATAATTTTGTGCTCATAGTGGACCACAGAAATCAGCAAAAATTTCCAGTTGAGAAAGTGAAATTCGAGGATTTGTACAATTTTAAATTAAAATACGGCTCGAAGAGATGAATTGATTCATATTTGCACCTCCTACCAAGATTGTAATCAATTGTTTTTATCTCCACAGGAGAGGATGCTGAATCAGGGTGGGATGACGGCGCGGGGTCGAGATGTCTTTGAACTACGTTGTCTTCCAGGTAATTAGAAACCGTTTTTGTTTCGAAATAGAGCTCAGCGCCAGTTCACTTTGTGCGTTTCAAGGCAGCAGCCGCTGTTGTTTTCGATGTTAAGTATGGCACCTCTTCATTTCCACACATTGGCTCGACCTTCAGGAGGATGCCTTGTCCAACCTTATCTTATCTCATTACAACACGCTTATCTTCTTTCATTCCAGCGCACTGATAGAATGCCCGTTTGTTGCTGTGTCAATGCCAGAGTTCGTGTCACTCTCCCAGCAGTTATCGAAACAGTAGCCGCCAGCAACGGGATAACGGCGGGACACTCGCTGACTGAAACCGAGCCAGCCTAGCAGAACAGCCTAAACTTTCGGTCACACAGATATTCCGCAAAAAAAAAAAAAAAAAAGACTTGAACAGCAGCATTGAGCCTCTTTTCACACAGATTATTTTATGTCTTAATGCTTTCCAATGGGTGTCAATTGTGCGCAGATTTCGGCCATTTGTGGGCTGGGTCGATCTGGTTCCAATTCCACTGCGAATAGTGGAGGTCAACTGTATACTAAACAAGTTGTTTTAAAAAATTGGATAGATTGCTCCATGTTCTGAATCGGTTCTTTTTATTTATTTATTCATTTATTTATTTTAAACTCAATGTGATTGGATCCAAATCACTGATCCTGTCAAGCCTAATTAATGTATATTACATATTAATGTTGGTAGTATCATCCATGTGGTTTGTGTTTGTTGGCACTGACTATTTTGCGACATAGTGTTGACGTTTAAGATCTGCGCAATGAATTTTCTCTTAGTTGCGTTTTATCTTTTAGTTTTTTTTTTTTGTCAACTTTTTCTTTTTTTCCCCCCATCAAGCTTACCTTACGGACTATATAACCTATTGAACAATACTTGTATCAAGAAGTAGAAGTAAAAGGGTGTCAAGGAATGAAGGGAGAGCTGAAAAATCGACTCAAATACAGTAACGGCTGCATTTTCTCCTTCTGGTGTTTCCTGCGCATCCCAGCAGGTTGCCCACAGCGGGAAGCGTCTGCTCAATAGGAGACGCGGGCCAAAAACAAGGAAATATGCGGATGAAAATCAACAAAAGCCAGCCCAGAGAATGCGGCCGGGCCGTGTTTTCTCAGACTGGTCCTTGAGACGGCGCTCACCTCGCAACCACAAGATCAACAGAAACCAAAAGGGCTCCTAAAATGGCCAGTGTGATTATTTCAGTTTGGCTTTTCGAGAAAACGCGTTTTCAACAGCTACCTGAGCTGCTCAAAATCTGCTTATTTGGCTTGTTGTCCGGCCAAACCTCTCTCGGAAGAGCATCATTCGCACGGCGTTCCCTGACTCCATCACAGTTCATAATTTACGGCACTATTGGTTTTTTTCCCCCCCACCCCGCTTATTTCAAAGTTTATAATGACCATAACAGCTGTTATGTTTGGCGTTAAGCTAGCAGACTTAATGCTGACATAGTTTGATTGAACATTTTCAAAAATACAACATAGAATTTTCTTGTGTCGTATGTGCTAGTTTTAGAGTCAACTTCAACTGGGAGGAACAAATAAATGCACGCTGAGGAATAATTTGCAACAATTTCACCAATGTTTGGTGCTTCTGGAACGTATCCCCTACGATAATCAAACAGGTTGAATGTAAAGTGGTGAAAGGACATGTGGCTCGTAAAGACCTTCACATATTGCGATGACTCAAGAGTCCACACTGCTCGCGCCGCCTGCACTTTGCACTTGTCGAGTCTCTCCAGGCCACACTCGGTTTGCTTGTCCGCCATTTTGTCCGCCATCCACACGTCAACAAAGGTTTGTTGACGTGTGATCAGTGAAGTCAACGTTGTGTTTAGGTGGAGCATGTTGGTTAGCACCTCACAGTCAGGAATACCCAGGTTGGAATCTGATCTTGATCATAAGATGACCTAATTGGCAGAGTTCTGTGTGACAGATAAAACAAGATGTCCGACAGCAATTGTTGCTTCAATCAATGTTATCACAGTTTTTTTTTTTTTTTTTTTTTTTGCATCATGCTTTCTTTTAACCCTTTCAGGTTAAAACAGTGGACAGCTTATCGTGTTATCAGGTTACAGGGTGCGTGAAAGGGTATTTTTTTTTTTAAATTAATTGTAGTGTCTTTTCCTTGTACTGTGGGTGTCAAGTGTGAGCTGACTCAGTGGTACCAGAGTGCAAAGTTCAACACCCTAGACTCACTGCGTGTGCCCGTGTGTTGAAAGCAGTTGTCGGTGTTACGTTGACATTGCTATCTAATTATCTTCATAGCAACAGCTGTGCGAAGGTACACTTTCGAATATGGAAATATTTTGGACGTTAAGTGTTGTGTCTTGTGAGCATGGGACTCTTTTTAGGTCTACATTTGCCGTACAATCCCACGATGTGTTTGTTTGCACAGTAGATATATGACCGGCATAAAAGACATCTTTTCCACTTCCTTCTTTTCCTCCCGCAGCATAAACAAGAGTTCCGTGAGTGGCAGAAATGACTGTTTTCCTGTTTGGCCTTTGGAATTCCCTCATGTCTTCATTGAGTGAGGTCCATTCGGCTTGGCCGGTCGGGCTGGCTTCTGTTGCGCTTCTTGACAAGAGAATTCTTGTTCCATACACGTTTACTGGAGAAGAATTCGATTCTCCCTCCAGTTCTCCATTTTGCCAAACATTTTTCTCCGAACGTTGTTGCCATGCAACTCCACATTTGCTCTTCCTCCGGTTCTTGGCAGCGCTCTTGTGGAATTCTGCCTCCTATTCATACATAGCTGCAGAAGTAATAATCATTATTTATCAGCTGCCCAATTGGCAGCAGTTGGGCGCCACACACCTACTATTTAGCTTTTTTTTTTTTTTTATCCCCCCTGCCCTTCCTGTTATGCATCATAACCAGAAGCGCTCAATCACTCACCGAGTAGGCTGCATTTAATTGGGACTGATGTATTCGGGGGTATTTTTCCAACACGTTCCTTTATTCCTCAGTGAAGAATGACAAACTTCATGATTTTATATTCGCGGGGGGGTGATACGAAGCATTGAATTAGTTTGGCCTCGTTTGAGGTATGCATTTCCTTCGTGTTCACAGAAAGCTAAAATGCTAAGCCGGACATCTGTTGTGCACATTAAAGCTGTTAGCAGCCATGTATGGATCATCGCACCCGGAAAGTCTTCCAAATGGTCAGCCACTTTTTTTAGTCCATGATCGCTACTGTATGTAAAAAAAAACTGCTTAGCAGTTATTTTTGCTCATATCTCAAGGCTATGACATTCCCCGCCGATTTAAGATTTGGCACTTGCGAATTAATTAGATTTTATTTTCAGTTACTGAATAATCGCATTGCTAATTTCTAATGTAATTTTTCATGGTAATCTATTCATTTTTGGGGAAGGGGTGACTCTTCCTCTACAATTTGCTCTTTTTGTGCTTCCTGAAATGCCCTGCGATGCTGGGGGAAGAGGGTCACAAAAGCCCTTTGTCGTTGTCAAGGAAATACATTGAAGTGACACATGTTGCCTCTGAAACAATTCAAAACATTTTTAAGGGGGTGTCACGTCACTAACAAACTCCAAAGGGGGAGTCTGTCCAATTCCCCAGATGGGCTGCTGCAAGAAAAATGGTCAACTTCCTGTTTGACTTCAGGCACGGGTCTTTGAGATGCTTTTGTCATTCCTCTGATAAGAGATGTCGCACCGAATGAAACGTTCATTGATGATACCATCGTTGGAGACTTTTAACCTAACGAGGATACACCAAATGATCCTCAACCTTCAACAACATGCTCCACCCACATTGCAATGCTTCAAGCCAAAATGGCCGACATCCTGTGCGATTTCGGACACGTGTTCTTGATGAGAATTATTTTTTTATGCGTCCTCTTATAATTTTGTGTCGATGGTGTAAACTGATGGCGGCGCTAATTTTTTTCCTAGGGGGTGCTACTATTAATTTTTTTCCCTCCCCTTTAATGATGTCAGTCCTACAAAATAACCTTTGACCCTTATGTCCCATTTGCAGGCGAGTGCGTGCTGCAGAGGGCTGTCATGGTGAGGAAGAAGCTTACAGCGAGGGAAGGCAGAGGCTGGCTATCAGGAACGCTCTTCTGCACGCACTTCCGAGTCGCCTTCGTGCCCCAGGATGCTCCCAAACCTGATGTCAGCACTTGTCCTATACTGCACGAAAATACCAGTCAATATACTGTATGTGGGAGGGAAAAAAAAAACATCTCAATCTTTTGTTGCAGGACAATGCCGACCCGGTTCTTTTGGGGGATCATGACGTCGCTTTGGCATCTATTGAGAAGGTCGTAGTTGGTAAGTCAAGCTTGTTAAAATATTGTCACATATTGTACTGACACAATATTGATTAAATTACTACTTTTAATAAAGGGTTTGAAAAAGTCTGCAGATCCTCTGTTTGTCTCTCATGTAATTTTACTACAGTATAATGTATTCGAATTCCAGTTGACCCTGCCACCTCACCAAATTTTTTTTCCTGACCCAATGCCCTGCAAATTGTGGAAAAACTCACCTATTTGCATTTTGGGTGGGGGTCATATTTATGAGTTGAACTCTTGCGGTCAATTCCATTTACTTTTAGGGGAGTACCAGTTGTTCAACGCTTTTCACTTTTTGCGTTCGGGCTGTCTTGTTTTGTCTTCCTCATTAATATTCCTCCTCCCAACCTTGTTGTGTTTGCAGTGGGCCCCAACCGGACCAAACTGGTGACCCCAAACTCATCGCTCAAGTTCACGCCGGAGGAGCTGGTGCTTTACTGCCGCGACCTGCGAGTCATCTGCTTCCTGTTTGACCGCCTCACCCCCGACGCCCAAGTCATCGAGGTGTGCGTCTTTCACACACACTTGGACCGCGTGCGTGCGTGCTTGCTTGCTTTCTTTTCAAGGCTGGCTGTCCTTTTCAGATAACGCACACCATCGCCAAAACCTACCAGCCTCTCAAGCCGGGCTCTGTGTTGTCCTTCCAGAACGCCGCCCTTGGTAGCGTAGGTATGGTCCCTTCGTCTACTCATGCTTGATGGTCACAAGCAACACGAGGCACACCCAACTTTCACAGCAACCTGAAATAAGTGACATGGCTACCCGCAGTTCAACTCTGCCGCCGTTCAAGTGGGTCAAGACTGCGACAACCTCGTTTTACGTGTGGAGGTAGACATTTCAAAATAGTGGTCAAAGCTCCCCAAGCTAACACATCAGCGCGAGCCTGCGACACGTCGTCAGTTCCAATTTGTGCCTCTGATCGGTTAAATTGACTCGAACGTGATGGTTTCTTAAAAAAAAACAAAAAAAAAACACAAAACATTCCTGTCAATTGCTTCTATAAATATTTTTAATCAAATTAATTTGGAGGGGTCTGCCTACGGTGTAGTACCGTACAGCGCCACAACATGCCTGGCAGCACTGAGGTCTACGCAAATACGTGTAGCGTAATTAAGGGCAAAGAGAAGAGGCAGATACGGCTCCCAACTACGCTTCGATAATAGTTAACTTTCCCATGTCGCAGAGAGAATATTCTGCATTGTTGGATGCTCGGTTTATGTGTTGCTGCTCCGTGTCTGTGTGTTAAAGTAGCCAATGTGTGATGGTTTAGAATTAGCATAATCTCGCTGCTAACATCTGACAGCCTGTCTGTTGTTTTGAAGAAGATGTTAGCATTAAGCTAGCAGATTTTGGTTATATGGTTATGTTTTGCGTTGTGAATTATTCAGTTTATCACATTTTCTTTGATTTTGCAGTAAACGTCAACTGGGAGTGACAACAGCTTGAAGCTAGCACACTTGCCTCTTATTTGGAGAACTAGACAAAAGAGTCTTTGTTTCCTCAAAGTGAAGTTAAACAATAGTCTCCCTTTTCTTGACAGGGAGAATAAGTAAGCAAGCATAAAGAAATATGTTTAAAATGTCTTTTCATGAATTAAAGAATTTTAAAAAATGTGTTTCAAGCGAAAGAATTTCTTTTTGGTTCTTAAAAGTGCGATAAAACAGTTGTGTAGTAACACTCAAGTGTGTCTTAGGAAGTTCAAAAAATTGTTTTGATTTGGTTTCTCTTGATGGCAGTTTTTCACCTATTGCAGGTGCATGTGTAACGTTTCCCTTGAAACAAACGGGAGTTCACTGTACAAGGTTTTCTCCGTTTTCCGTCCGTGTATGTGACTGATCAATGTTTTCTCGGCGCAGAAATGAAGCAGTTCCTAAGCAACCGGCGGCGGGACGCCCACATGAACTGGCACGAGTCGGCCGCCGACTGGGAGCGAGAAGTGGAGCGCTGCGGCGCCACCGGCTGGAGAGTCAGCTCGGTCAATGACCGCTTCGAGATGTCCACCAGGTACGACGGCTTTCGAAAGAATTCGCCCCACCTTGAACTTTTGACCGGCTTTGTGCCATTTTTTTCGTCTCCTTTTTTGATTGCTTGAAATATTTTGTGGTATTCCACTTCTCCTGCAGATGAATGAGAATAACATTTCTGGACTTTTTTTAGTCTTCCAAGATTCATCGTTGTTCCTCAGAAGGTTCTTGACACCGAACTGAAGAAAAGCTTCGCCCACTTCAATGACGGACGCATCCCCGTGAGTCTTCTTTTCATTTTAACTTCATTGCTACCTAGATTTACGAGTGGCCCAAATTTCAAGGTTCTTCACTTATGAGCTATCCATTATTTTTTTTTGCAGTGTTGCATTTCCCAATCTAAGATATGAGCAGGCTTCAAATAAGCTGGGTCATGCCAGTGTTAATTGAGAGGGAAAAGGGAATGAGTTGTTTTTGTGCTTGTGGACAGCTCCGTCAGACTTGCAGCTCTCTGAACGGATTTCCACTCGCCTTTGATTTTGTTGTTGTTCCAGCGTTGGTGCTGGCGACATCCACGCGGCAGCGACCTCCTGCGCATGGCCAGCTTCCAGAACAACATCTACCACGAGAAGGACGACATCAGGTGCCGTGTTTGTCTCGCCAGCCATCTTAGAAGATGTTCGCTATCACTCACCTCGCCACCATATCGTACCGGATAGAGTCGTTCGGGAATCAGTCGGCACTGCCAATTACTTAACCGTTTGCTATGTTAGGCACTTTTCGATTCATTGCGTCAGCCCTCGAGTCAACTATATGGTACTGATTGGCGAAATGGGAACGAGTGAAGGATTCAGAGCACAGTTGCTGCATTTGCTAATTTTTTTTTTGTATGTGTGTGTTGCTTAGGAACCTGGAGCTCATCCTGTTCGGCTGCCATTCGTCAGCATGCGTGGTGGTGGAACTTGGCGAGGAGCTTCCCTCGCCCGCCGACATCCAGCTGGCGCACGGCCGCCTACGAGCGCTCTGTCTTGGAGGTGGGGAACGCCATACGTAAACAGCCGTACCTTGATTTGGCAGTTTTTCCAGTGAGGAGACGAGTGAGCTTCAGAAACGCTGATGCTCAAGTCCAAGTGAATAAAGAAGGTGCTGTTTGAGAAACAGGGCAAAGAGTCCATCCATCCGTCCATCCATTTTTTTTTTTAATTGCTGTTCCTGGGGTCGGGTCGTGGGGGCAACAGCTTTAGCAGGGGAGCCCAGACTTCCTTCTCCCCAGCCACTTCTTCCAGCTCTTCCCCGGGGGATCCCAAGGCGTTCCCAGGCCAGTCGTGAGACAGTTTCTCCAGCGTGTCCTGGGTCGGCCCTGGGCCCTCCTGCCGGTGGGACATGCCTCACCGGGGAGGCATCCAAGAGGCATCTTAATCTTTTTTAATTTGCCACTATTTGAAGACATAATGTAGTCTGACATTTCTTGTCCTTGGTCACAGAGGGGCAAAATGGGGGCAACCAGATAATCTTTGTGTGTATGATGAAGAAAGTCATGAATGGCCCCGTGTGGCATTTTTCCTGTTGCAGATATCTCCACGTCTGTGACTGTGCCGGATGAAAAGTGGCTGTCCACGCTGGAAGGAACACACTGGCTGGACTACACCAGGTAACTGCCATCATCAGCATCAGCATCATCAGCCCCATTTAAAAAAAAAAAACAAAAAACAAAAAAAAACATTATGGGCCCGCGACCACACTCTGGCCCCTTATTTCAAACCTGCCCCCCCATTGTAAAAAAACTAAAAATAAAAAAACTACAAAATAAATTCTTGCACTTAATGGTTTTTTTTTTTTGTTCAGCAGTTTTGTGCCGTCGAATGGTCATTTTTAGGCACTGAAAAAAGTTTGATCAAAAATGAATAATATTCAGAGTATGTATTTTGCCTCTCACATAGCACTGATGAAAAATTGTGACCCCCTCTAGCATTAAAGTTGCCCATGCGTGATTGATTAGTTACATAAAAAAAACAAAAAAAAAACGGTGATACGATGAAGGCCAATCATGTATGTGCATTGTCTCCCATGTGTAGATGGTGCCTAAAGAAAGCTTCGGAGGTGGCGTGCCTTCTGCGCGGCGGTCACATGACTGTGGCGCTGCAAGGTGAGTCACGTGAGCCATTCATTATTCAAAGCTCAATCATGCCTACATGGACCCTCCGCGACGCCTACGTGTGCAGCCTCGATGCAGGAAAGTGCGCCTTCAGTGTCGTGCCGCAAGATGGCAGGCAGCACTGAGCTCTTAACGGAAGACGTGATTAAGAACAACAGGAAGAGGCAGAGAAGCAGCCCAACTAAACTCCAGTTCGGGTTCGCAGAGAGCAAAGGCGAATGTATGCCAATGTGCATCTTTTTGTCTGCTCTGTTTGTACGTGTTTCTGCTCCGTGTGTGTTCAAGTGGCAGTTGCTACCATGACAGTAACATTGGTGCTCGTTACCGTTAGCCCATCGATGGCATTTCGCATCACCGTGGACCCCCAGTTATGCAAGATTCGGCATTTGCAAATCCACCAAACCATCCAATTGTTTGGTTTCCGCATACCCGATCACTGTAATTTCATAATTATTATTATTTTTTCTCTCCAGAGGCGGAGGACCGAGACATGAGCTGTGTGGTGTCCAGTCTGGTCCAGGTAATGTGCGACCCCCACTGTCGCACACGCACCCGCCCCCCCTTTTTTTTTAAACTGATCTTTTTTTTTTTTTGCTTGAAATAATCGATTAATGGACAAAAGATCGATTGTCATCCATCCATCCATTTTCTGAAACCGCTTATCCTCACAAGGGTCGCGGGACATGCTGGAGCCTACTTATCGACAAAAATAAAAAACCTATGGTCACGAGCTATGGGTCATGACCGAAAGAATGAGATCCGGGGTGTCCGGGCTCTCCCTTAGTGATAAGGTGAGAAGCTTGGTCATCCGGGAGGGGCTCAGAGTCGGTCGAGCCGCTTCTCCTCCACATTGAGAGGAGCCAGATGAGGTGGCTCAGGCATCTGATAAGGATGCTTCTTGGATGCCTCCCCTCTGAGGTGTTCCGGGCATGTCCCACCGGCAGGAGGCCCCGGGGACGACCTAGGAGACACTGAAGAGACTATGTCACCCAGCTGGCCTAGGAACGCCTCTGAATTCCCCGGGAAGAATTGGAAGAAGTGGCTGGGAAGAGGGAAGTCTGGGCTTCCCTGCTAAAGATACTGCCCCCGCGACCCAACCCCGGATAAGCGGTAGACACAGTCCCGATGCCTTTTTCAGCTGCTTTATTGACTACCTGAAGAAGAAAGATACCAAAAGAAGCCAATGAACGGAGTGGCGCAGGAGCTGCTGCGGGCCACAGCTCCCACGTAGACGCTCACGCGTGCTTGTGGTGTGGTGTCTTCAGGCTCCCGTCTTCCTGCTTTTCCTGGACTGCGTGTGGCAGCTGTGGTCGCAGTACCCGTCTCGCTTCCAGCTGACGGACGACTTCCTGCTGGCGCTGCACGACAGCACCCACCTGCCGCTCTTCTCCAGCTTCCTGGCCAATTCCCAACGGGAGAGATGCAGACGCACACAGGTACTCACAAATACCCCTCCTGCTAATCTGGCTCGCGCACGACCAGAAAGTCAAAATCTGTACATTTGTCAAAATACAACCGTGACTTTTTCAACCTCCACCGATGTCAGTGTGACGTAAAAAAAGATATCAAGAGAGAGTGAGGGGTGATATAAAGTGCGTGAATGTGAGTATTCCTTTTGCCACCAGAATCTGGGCCAGTGCTACACGCCCGTCAACGGCTGGCGAGACCCGCTGCACACTGATAGCGGGCCGGAGCCGCCTGACCCTCCGCTGCCGCCCGTGTGGGACTGGTCGCTGCAGTACAGCGAGCGGCGACAGGCTGCTTTCACGCAGCCTGTCCCTCAGACACCCCAGCCACCTTCCCTGATCAACGGAAACCTCAACACCCACCAGGACGCCTACCGGGTAAATCTTGTGTAACACTGCCATCTGGTGGCCGTGCAGTAAAATGTCAGATCACAGGTGGGGAGGTTTTGATCGTCCAAAAAAAAAAAAAAAATCACTCAAAATGATTCATCATGTTTTGGCGCCACAACTCATGAATTTGTCTCATCCTGAAAATCAAAGAGGTACTCAGGAAACAGAAATATATATTTTTTTCCTATCAGCTCTTTACGTCGTGGCATTCATTGCTTTTCACGACGACGACATTGGCCTTTAATACGATGGCACACAGTGGCGGGCCGTGCATTTCAACCTTAGGCCTACATTGGCCTTTAATACGATGGCACATTATTATGGCGTGTTATGCGTAGAATGGTTGTAAATCCATTTTTCATAACACTGTAACATAAAATATAGGAAAAAAAACTTTCTACGTGCACATTTAGTTTTTCATTTTTAAAAAACTACCCAAAATATCCAAACTGTATTCTCCTTATTAGGGGATGTTGTGTGCAGGATTTTGATGCAAAGAAAGTTCAATTCACTTTACTTTAAAGTCTGCAATTTAAAAAAAAAAAGTTTTATTTTCTTGTGACTGCAATAAGCATTGTTTTTTTTTTCTCTTCCCCCCTGTGAATGTTTTCCTGTCCTCTTCTCTCCTCCCCCCACAGCCGAGCGACGGCACCCCCGGCTCCGTGTTCCTCCTCTCCCGGGGCGTCTTCTCATGTCCCACCAACCTGCTCCCGTGGCGCGGGGGCGGCGCGGGCGTCAGCATTTCGGGCGTCTACCGCAAGAGCCACCGCAGGGCGCCGTCCTCCGAGAACGTCCCCGGACTGGAGAGACTGCTGAAGGCCTGCTCCCTCAGCGAGGCCCCCTCCAAGCCCAAGTCGGACCCCTACGAGCCCTTGCTGCCCCTCCTCATGGGGCCCTGCATGGGCCTGTGGAGGGAGTGTTACCACCGGGGGGCGCTGCATGCTCAGGTATGAGGCCAGGTGGAAATTTTGACAGTCACTGAATCAAATTCAGCCCCAAGAGATGACGCGTTTTGGTTTGGATCCAAATTGATTTTGTACTCTTGGTGAAGAACAAACTTTAAAAAAAATGGCGCAGGTTGTAGTCAGTGAAGGAGTAGTTTGACACTCTGGTTGAAAGTTGCCCACTACTTTGTCAGCGAAAGCAAAAATTCAGACACTCCGGTTGAAATCCAAATGGAAGAAATCACACAAAATGACAAATGAAGCGCATAGAAGAGCAAAAACGAGAGTCCAACGTCATACTATTTTTAAACACATCCTCCAAGGTACTTAAACAAGTCGGAAATGTATTCCGGTTTCCATACATCCATTTTCTGTCGAATTGTTTTAAAACCTTGTTTGACTTCAAGTGGTCCAAATGCTCTGTATGTTCTCGTACTGACGTATGAAAATGTTGGGCCCCCGAGGGAAATTTACCACAGCTGTGCACGTCACCGGTGTGGCTTGCGGAATTGAATCACAGAAGCATCCGGCGCATCGCTGTTCTTTTCAGCTGTCCATCAGCAATCCATTTTTGGCCCATGTCCCCGCCTCTGTGATGTTTTCGGACCGTTTCTCCTACGCCGTCTCCATGGCAACGTAAGCCGCAAGTGGGCGCCTTTCTTTTTGAGGGGGCTGACGGATGGAGAATAGAAAGAAATGTGCGCCAATGCAGCTTATGATGAACCTTCTCGAGTTTACGCATACATTTTTGGTTGTTTTTAGCAAATATCTTAGACGACAAAGCAGTTATTTTCTCAACGAGTCGCCATCTCTCTACTAGACACCGTTCGACTAGTCACCATTAGTCTCAAATAGTTCCCTCTTTTTAACCAGTTTTTAGTTTGCTTGCCCCATTTGAACTGCATTTGGATTCGTTTCTGAAATGGTAAGAAATAAAGCAGCTTCAGTGAGCTGCTATAGGAGAAACAAAAGCATGAGTGTTTGACATCCTGATGTGAACCTTGGCGATAACGTGCCCACTTGGTCGTCCGGCAGGCCTTCTCGCACCCGCTCAGCGCCAACCACTGTCACCCGCTGGAGCTCCTGGCCAGGGAGGTGCGACGCCTCCAGGCGCGGCTAGCCCAGGCGAGCCCCGCGTCCGCCGCCGAACCGCGGCCGGCCCACGACGCCAACCACAATGCCAACAACGGCACCTTCCTCTTCCCCAAGTCTCACGGAGCCGCCGCTTCCGCCCCCAAAGCGCCCTCGGCTGCCCCCGCTCAGGCGTCCAGCCCCGCGCCCAGAGAAAACGCAAACAAACACAGCTTTCTGTTCGGGCACGCTTCGGACACCCGTATGGGTCGCGCCAACTCCAAAGTGGCCAAAAGCAACCCAAGTTAATCATGTGGCCTACCCTGCAGCTTCTTTGTTTTTGTTTTTTTTTGTTTGTTTGGGTTTTTTTTAGGGCACCTTCAAAGTATCAGAGAAGAAAAGGATGACCCACAATGCACTTGGAGACCCTTCTGACACATTTTCTGCAAGAGCGGAGCCGTCTATTTTTAGGCTGCAAATGGAAAAATGTGCCAAGATAGCACATGAAAAGGTACTTGCCGCCGGGGTTGCAAAACTTGTCCAAATCAAATGTACAAAATTGATATCACGTTAAAAAAAAAAAAAAGTTTTCCTCCCGTTGTTCGGCAGGCCAGGTGTGCCTAATGAAGTGTCTGGTGCTTTTGAGGTTTTATCTGAAGAGGAGGTGAGCCGCACCCACTGTGGAATTTGGGGCATGGGAGTTATTTTGGTGTTTGACGGCAGCAGCAGCGGCGGCAGCCCACCCACATCCCAGCTGCTCGCTTACTGCATTTTGGACTTTGAAACAAGAACGGCACTCTTCCAAATTCAGATCTTGAACCAAATGCATTTTTTTTCTTCAAAATGATCTGCAACTTAACGTTTCCTAGCCGCTGTTGTATTGAAAGTTGATCCGTAATGTACGTTGAAAGCACAAAAGGGAAGAAGCACGCACGTAGCTGGACCAAGCAGTGTTCCATAAGGGAAAACTCACTTTTTTTGTACAGATTTGTCAGAAAGTGGCCGCCGAGTAGTGAGAAATTGATTAAAATGTATTTCCAGAATAATAATCATGAAAATCAAAGCGAGCAGTATTCATGGTTTGTCGGCGTCGTAAGACGTAACGATAAATCCATTCCAAAGGTGTCCAAGTTGGCAGAATGCTTGTCACCTGTGTCGTATGACGACGTTTGACCAATGGTGAGTTGTGACTATGATTCATATGATTAGGAACGTCCTTTTCAATCCACTGCTTTTTGGTACGAGTTGACCGGATGTACATTTTGTATTTGCCTGTTTTTTTGTCCTTTTCAAAAATAAAAAGCAGCACTTGACTTGTGCAACACACAGCTCACAAACTTTATTCATTTGTTTTTGGTTTTGTTTTTCTTAAAGAAAATAAATATGATTTGGAACAGTTAAAAAGTAGCACGGCACTTACTGTACAATCAGCGTTTGGTTTTTGGTCACAACGGGACGCAAACGTGTGCAAACTTAAAATGAAAACTTAAAAATGCTCAGACATACACAAGTCTTGAGAAAAAAAAAACATAACACTTGAACCTTTTACAGGTGAACTTTGACGTTTTGTAAACGGCATCTTGTCCAACTGTAAAATGTTTCAACTCGCTCACGAACAAAGAAATGTAGCACAAAATATACACCATTTGTGTGACTCTTCGGGTACTTCGAACACTCCCAAGAGGGACCCGGCCTTTCGACTTTCAGTGGATCCAAGAGAGATCAGGGACTAGAAAAGTCACCAGTCATTCTGGAGTAGGCTCTCTTGCAAGCGGATCCCAGGAAGGGGCGCTTTGGCGGGGCGTCACCCCCACCAGCCGACGGGCTCCGTCCGCCCGACGTGGGGACCACAGAAGCATCCTGACGACGACAAAGACGAGGCTCCCTGGCCCCCGAGCCGGTTGAGGGACTTGCACATGGGGCACGGGTAGTCTGAGAGTCCCTCGATGTCCCGGAAGGCCAAGTTGACGATGTGGTGGCAGCAGGCGTCGCAGTAGAGGTGGCCGCACGACAGCCGCTTGAGGCGCGCCTCGTAGGTGATGCAGCACTGGCAATGCGGCACGTCAGGACCCAGCGACAGCGAGCCCGTCAGCGAGCTGCTGTCCAGGCTACCCGGCTGGCTGCTGCTCTGCTTGCCGGCGGATCTGCCCGAGGGGGAAGAGCCGTCAGTTCAACAGGCAAGCGAACGTCTGCTGACTAGTCTCTTCTGAAGTAAAACTTAACTAAACTGACTCAACATAAGACAACACGTCGTACAAAACTTTGGTGTTCAATGCCAACGCATTACAGGAAATACTAGATGGGTTCGTATTAGTGTTAAGGCGCAAGAGCCAACAGGTTTTTGAACACAAAGAGTGGCGCAACACATGTAATCAAACACCATTCAGGAACATTTTGTTGTATCCTCTACGAACCCTGACTCATTTTACTGTGGCTGACTGAGCACTTGTGGCGGTTAATCCAGATGTCACATTTAAAAGTTTTGGAAATGAACAAAAATGACCCAAATGGATTCATAAAGTCACTTTAAATGAGGTGGCTGAACAATAATAAAATCGTTTTCATTTACTTGTCAGAATAATAAAGTGAAGGCAATGAGTTGGGAGAATAACAACAAAAAACATTTCTGAGACTTGGCAGAATAATAACCAGAGAAATGACAATTTACATTTCTTGCAGGAATAATTTAAGCCAAAGCAATTTTAGAGTATTCGCTGAAAGCAAATTAATTGAGTTGCAGCATTAATAAGGTGAAGAAAAAAAAATTACAATCACTGGCTGGAACGATAACAATCATGAAAGCAGTTTGAACAACCTATTTTTATCCCACCAAAGACGAACAAAATGATGAGCCGTTTTGACACCAACAAGCACAACCTGAGCTCAATTAGCGCCATTTATGACGTCAAGGGAGCTCTCGAATCTTTCAAAGTGCAACAAATGGCTTAAGGATGAAGACATTTTTTTCATATATAAATGTCCACAAAACGTGCCAAGGTAGAAGAGGATGCATGAAATCGTCTCACGAGGACTCATTTCCCACAGCAGCTTGTTGCATTGTGGTGAAATAAAAAAGAAAATAATCACAACAATGGCAACTAAACGGTGAGATGCCCTCGATGCAAGGAGACGTTACGCAAGGATCCTCCCGCGCGCCAACCATCCAAAATTCACTTTTGAAAATTAAACGACAATCATCACCTGCTGGACGAAGACGACGACGACTTGAAGCAATCAAAGCTGAGCGCGGCGAGGATCCGCCACAGAAGGTCCATGGTGGACGCATCCACCAGCACTCATGCCGCCGCTGCCGCACATGCGCACAGTCGCCCCATCGCCATCATCATCTTCGTCTTCAGGCTTCTTCTGCCAGGCGGCGGAGTTGTCCGGCCGGGAAGTCAGACAGACAGACAGTCAGACAGACGGACAGACAGACAGGCAGCGCGTGCGACTTGAATTCAAGTGGCGTGTTTTCATGTGCGTGTTTGGCCACCAGGGGGCGGAGGAGGAAGGACCAAGTGAGACGTGCACATTAAATGGGAGGGCGCTGAGGTGCGCGCGCATTGCAAAGCGCCTGACATCAACTGACCTTAATTTTTTGGGGGGAATCTTCTTTTTCCGGAGCATACACAAACCAGTGGTGACTCTCAACTCAACTCAACTACATACAAAATGCTGTACATGGAGCAACTAACATATAGACAACAATAAAGCAATAAATCAGAAACTAAGAGGGTAGAAGGCACCAAACCGTAAAACTAAGATCAAATCTGAGTCATGCTGTGTCAAATGCCAAAGAATACAAGTGAGTTTTGAGGCGGGTTTTAAAGATGGGCAGCGAGGGGGCTTGCCGAATGTTCAGTGGGAGGTCATTCCAGAGAGCTATACAAGGAGGCAGAATCACATAACCCAAAAATACCGTCGTGCTAGTCTGAATACCGTTTACTTTTTCGTCGAGCCTAATGCAACGTGAAGGTGCCAAAAAAAATCTAACGTCACCTGGCGTGGAAACCAGTTTTATTTGATGTTCACTCGAATTAAATTGCAGTGCAGAGTCGATTGCGTCATCGTTGGGGGCGGGGCATACATTTCGTGAGAGGAAAACAAATCCATCCCCACATGCCCTCCCCTCCCGGCATGGGAGTGGGATTGTGTTCGAGGATGTGGCTCGGGATTGGGAGGGGTTGGGATCATGTGCAAATTTGGGGGATTGGGAGGGGTGCGGGAGTGAAAAGCCCCTCACGTGACCGCAGGCCCCCCAAAGCAGCAGAGCGAGCGCAACAATGCAGGAAAGCAACGACAACCCAGAACAAATCAAATCGGATTTAAGCAGCAAAGTCAAGAACAAGGACCCGTGCGTTCAACTTAGAGACATTCAAGGCAAATCGCCATTTTGTGCCAAATTCGCCAGGATCGAGTGCTACGGCGTCGACACCAACTACGTCGCTTGCAGGAGGTGCGAGGTCCTGGTCAAGTACACGAGCGAGTCGGGCACGAGCGGCCTAATCAGGCACAGATGCCAGACGCCCAAGGCTGCCGACGAGCAATGCCAACCAAACGCGGCGACCCCCAAACGCAAGTGCCCGGCGCAAGGCGTGTTCACGCGCCTGGCGGCCACAATTGCGCGCATGTGCAGCCAGGATTTGCGGCCGCTTTCCTTTGTGGAGGGACGAGGCTTCGTGGCGGTTGCGCAAGAGTTGCTCGAGATCGGATCGAGGTTCGGAGGCAAGTTTCCGGTGGAAGGCATCCTGCCGTCTGCGCGCACTCTCTCGAGACACCTGGATGAAGCCTACGAACAATTAAAAGGGCGTGTCAAGGACGAGATTCGCCAGGTAGGCTGCTACTGTTTTGTTTTAGGCGGTAAAAAAAAAAACATAAATAAAATTAAAGTATTCCTCAAACCATCTCATCGATTCCACTCAGGGTCGTCGATTTTTTATCTGCATTTTTAAAAGTCTGTGATGCAAATTAACTTTTTGATTATTTTTTTGGACTGATTTTCTGTCCTTGATTTTCCTCTGGCACATCATGTAATGTTGCAATATATTTTGTAGTATTTATGAATTCAGTTCAGTAACAGGTGGAATTTTTTTTCTGAAATGTCAGCTATAATTTACAACGGTTGTAAAACCTGTGTATTGATGTATGTAGAGCATGTGTCAAACTCAAGGTCTGGGGGCCAGATCTGGCCCGACACATCATTTTATGCGGCCCGTGAAAGCAAATCAAACATGTCAACTTCCATTTTGCTTGCTAAAATCTGGACCAAAACTTAATATTCTCATCTGTAACAATTAAGAAACATATCGTAATCATTTTCTCATCACCAAACACCTCATTGCAGTAACTTAAACAGTAGTTGAATAAACCGTTATTAGTGACTTTTTAAAATTTGGTTTCAGTCATAACGGCCCTCCAAGGGAAAACGGTAACTGAAGTGTAGCCCACCACAAAAATGAGTTTGACACCCCGATGTAGAGAGAGAGAAAGGTTACAAATGAAAACAAAACAAAAATATCTGAAAATCTTGACATGCTAAAAAAACAAGGTAGACATTTTTTTAAAAATCTGTATCAAAAATACAAGTAGGACACACAAAGCCATCTCAGATGAAAATTTGCTGTTCATCAGTGCTCTCCTTGAAATGCTCCACATCTCATGTTTAACTTGCTCATCTGCCTTTGTAAGATATTTGAAGGTATCTTGAAACCTCCTGACAATTTGCTGTTTTCCCGCTTCAGTGCCAAGGGCATGCTGCGACCGTCGACCTTTGGACAGGGGCGAGGACAAACACTCGCTTTCTGACTCTGACGGCGCACTACATCCACGAGTGGAAAATGGTCCATCGCGTCCTGGCCACCAGAGAGGTGGCGCACGCTGAACACATCAAAAGCACTGCCGAGGAAATCCTTCAGGTGAGGGTCAGGGAAAAAAAAAAAACACAACTCAGATTTATGCACAGACATTTTGAATGGAGGTGACTTCCAAAATGGGAGTCGGAGTCATTGTGAATGGGAGCAGAAATCCCCTCCCGTGTCACCTTCTACTCCGAATGGTGCCAAAAGCAACACATTAGAAATTTCTTTTTTCTCCACTGGACTTGAATTGTTCATTTGAATGACAAATATCTCCATGCACCATTTGAAAAAAGTATTTCTTTGATCTTACCTGTTTTATTGTTACTCTTGACCTTTTTACAATTGTCCTTATTCATATATCTTTTTTCATGATTGTTGTTGCTGTCGCCGTACACCACACAGCAAATTTCCCCGCCGAGGGACAATCTAAATAAATAAATAAATAAATAAAAATACTCTTTTGACTCCGAATGTATAGGAATTTGGGATCCTGAGTGAGGACATTGTCTTGGTGACAGATGACGGTTCGGATGTGGTGGCCGCTTTCCAAGATTACACGCGACTCTCGTGTGCCAGCCACAATATCGATTTGATCCTCCGACACGTTTTTGAGTGCCTGGATGAGAAGAACCCGCTGCACGGGCCCGTCGTCAAGCTGATGGCCGCCACAAAGGCGCTCGTCACCCATTTGAAGAGAGAAGGGTAGGACAAGTCGGTGTGCCTGCTTGGCAAAAAATGTCCCAAAAAAGTTGACTTGCTTGACTTTTAGACTGGACGACGACCTGGAGCAACCTTTGGAACAAGCAGCGGAAACGAGATGGAATTCCAAACTCGCCGTGCTCAAGTCAGTCAATCACGCTCTCAAGTCCGGCGAGCTGCACGAAATCCTGCACGGTCGAAATGAGCTGCGTTTCCTGGACGACGTCGACGCCAAGCTCCTGGATGACGTCACGTTGCTCCTGGCGCCGTTCGACGAGGCCACGCGCCACCTCTCGGCTGGCGCGCCCACGCTGCACTTGGTCCTCCCAACTAAAGTCACCCTGCTCAAGGCCTTGCTCCAGCACTACCACCACGACGGTCCCCTGGTGACGGAGGTAATCCAGCATCCCATCAAGATTTATTTATTTTTTTGGTTTGTTTTGTGAAAAGTGTTGACCTATGACCTCTATCGGTACATAATAATACGTTGTTCAGATCAGCCAGCAACCAACGAGAATCATAATAACGAATGCCCGTCTGGTTTTGTGACAAGCTGAAAGTGAAGTTGGCCCAGGCAGTGGACTCGAAGTTCCAAATTCATCTGTACCACAAGGTGGCCACCGCTCTGTCCCCTCGCCTGAGGACTTTCTTGAGGAAGACCGTGAGCGCTCAGGAATATGAGGAGGTCATTAACACCCTGGCGCAGCTCATCCAGAAATCCCAGGCGCCAGAGGGTCTCGCCGTCGGTGAGACGCGTGCTCAAATAAATACACTCCACACACACACACACACACACACACACACACACACACACACACACACACACACACACACTAGAGGCGGACGCAGAAGTAGACTTTTGCTCCCTCCCACTCCCCGCAAAAAATAATCTCATCCCCTCCATAGCCCGAGTGATCCCAAACGGCCCCAGTCCTGAATTTGACACAGTCCCACTTCCGTCCCGGAAAATGATTCCAAAGTTGTGAGGACCGTACCCGCTCCCACCCTCCCAGGGAAAATGCCCCGCCCCCAGCTATGACGGCACGCCCACTCTTTCGACCGCAGTCTTTCACTCCATGCTGAGTGCAAATGTTCAAATATCCCTTTGAGAATATTTCTCGCACTTTTGACACCAAGTACTAAAAAAAATAAATAAAGTGTCATTCTTCAACTTCCACCATCCTCATCAACATTAAAATACAGTAACGCAGTAGGCCATAGTGGTCATCCAAAGAGAGGCAGAAGTTTTGTACACATCAACTGTACTTAAAAGTTCAATAAAATTCGTACTTGCATTATTGTTTCGTATTTTTTGGAGGTGAAAACAAGAAAAAAAAGGTCAGTCTTACGACATGAACGTTTTTGTGTGTTTCCGGAAGGTGCCGGGCCCGCCGAGACCTCCGAGGTTGACGACTTCTTTGCCGCCTGCATCGAAGAGGAGGAGCCTGAGGAAAAGGACGAGGGATGGCTGACTGAGTCGTGGGAGCGGCAGGTGGTGCGGCAGTACATGAGCGACAAGGTGCCGCTCTCTCACTCGCTGCTGGACTTCTGGAAGAACAGGTCAGGCGTGCTGCTGCCCGTCGCCAAGAAGTTTCTGTCCATCCCAGCAAGCGCCACGCCGTCGGAACAAGGCTTTGCTCTTGCCGACAGACGCGCCGCACTTAACCCGCAAAACGTGGACGCTTTGTTGTTCCTGCATAGCAACAGCCAAGTATAGGTGACCTCAAACATTCCATGTTTCTTTTTCAACTCTGGACTGTGTTCAGATGTGCTGATGAGTCCATGCGGTTGTTAATAAAGTTTTGATTTGGTTCGTGATCATACCGGTGAGTCAAGATGAGACAATTGGGAGTGGGATGGCGTTAAATTTTACGTGTGCGTGTGTGTGTGTGTGTGTGTGTGTGTGTGTGTGTGTGTGTGTGTGTGTGTGTGTATCACTGGCAGAA